AAAAAAAAAAAACCCTTGAGAGTATATGAAAGTACTTCTATCTTAATTGGCTTAGATAAACCATAGTTGTGTGAATAAGTTCATGTAATAGAATTATGATTATTGAGAGAGTTAAACACACAAGAAGTCAATTAGGAAATAAAAATCAAGAACTAAGACAATGCAACATTGTTTGCAATAATACGTGAATCAAAAGAAACTCAGCATAATTCTGCTAATGAGATAGCTTCTCAATAAACAGATTGGTTTTTATCTAGTTGGGGAGCCAGATCCTGAGAGAAAATTCAAAATCTCCATCCCCCTGTTTCTTCTAGCCTCTGCACTTTTGCTTGTTTTCTACTTTAAATATCCACTAATCCGGGCAAAACACATCTTACCTTACTTTTATAAGGCGTATTTAAGAAAACACAAACTCAAACCAAATTCAATCCTTCAATAAAATTATTTTTTATGCTTATAAAATGAATAATGTAATTAAGTATACCAGTTCCTGTCAAAATGTAACATATCTTACTGACAAGATTTCTATATACCAGGTTTGTAAAAGCTATTGTCTCCTGTGCCATAAGCCCATCTGCCATGCAACATTTTCCCTTCCTAAACTCAAACAGGCTCTTCACAAAGAGCTGAGCATTGTTCTAGCCTCTAAATTTATAGAATTCACCAGCAGCAGAACATTTTGTCTCAAAATATAGATGATTTACTTCATTCTAATAATAAAGCATGTAAGTAAAGTGTTGTTTGTTTTAAATATAGTTTGTTGATTTTTTACTAGTTTTAAAGAATCAGTATTTGATTATTTTCCCTTTTCCACCAGGAGACAATACAGTAAGAAGTAAATATTCAGTGATTCCTTTGACAGAAAATGCCCGTTGTCACTTCAGACAAGTAAGAACCATCTAGATCTTACTTATCTAGATGAGTGAGTGCCACTCCATAATAGTCACACTTGAAAAATACACGCATCACCAAAGAAAATTATTAGGTGGTGATGCACTTTTAGTGTTTTTCATATGTATTTCCATCAATTTCCACAGTGAATCTAATTCATTAAAGGTGAAGCAAGACTTGATTTGCAGCACCATGACAAAAGAGCATTCTTCACTGTGCCCTTCCATTAGCTTCCTTTTTTTTGTTACTTTTTTTTGTTCCCCACTTCAGGGTCCAGGGTGTGGGGAGGAAAGGGGTACAAAGGAGGTCATTACCTTGCATAACCAGAAGACAGAGACTTAAGAGCATCATAAAAATCCACCACAATTTCATTCAGTGGCAAGAGGTATTTTAGCATAACCCTGTTTTCATCAATGTACAACATGTCCTTCTGGACTGCCCTACGATCCTAGACAAATAAAAATTGTTTCAGTCCCCCTTGACGGAATTTTTCTACAAACAAATGCAAAACAAAATAAACAGCTATCCAGTTACAGAAGAGAAGTTTAGTTTGCTAAAGTCCCAGAACAAATTGCAGCACCATCATAAATGAAGCGGTTGTAACTTAACTGGACAAATGATTCAAGTCTCTCCTCTCTAAAAGCTGAATTTCTGAAATCCTTAAGAGCTTCTGCTTACTGCTATCTTCTAAATGTATAATTATTTGTCCATAAAAATCTCACTGAAGTTAGATTTTCACATATACTGAAGTATCACACAGTAGTACTCGCAGGCATCATCTTCTTTCCTGCCAGGAGGGTGTTCTTAAAGTTATTTCAAGAATTCTTTTTAATAGATCTTATACTTCATTGTACTAACATAAAAGTAGTGTAGTCTTTTGTATTATGTATTTTGAAACATTAAAAGCTAAGAAAAGTCTTGTGAAGAAATCATATAAATACAATATGCATGGCAGCTAAAAATTTTTTAGTTAAAAGTATTCCGAATACACTTGGGGAAACGTGACTTGCCAACATCATCATAAATGTACTCCAGTGAAGTACTGAAAACATGTATGTTTTCAAAACTCAGTAGTGTCGACAGAACTTTTATTTCCATGAATATACATCTAAAAACCAATAGATCTTATTCCCCTGCTGCAGATTCCATTCTTTCAAGAAAACAGAACTAGCTATGAATTTGCCTAGTGCAGGATGCTTGACTACATACTTTATTGTCGGTGAGCTTCATCACTAACTTTCACTATAAGGATTTTGTAGTTCAGAAGTTAATTTTACACACAAAAAGTTTAAATACTTATGAAAGAAGAAAGTATTTTAATAATTACTGTCAAAAGACACTATTTAAGTACTAATATCCACTATCTTACATTTCTAGTATCTTCACTTTAAGTATGATATGAAAAGCTTAAAAATGCAAATGACAGAACTAAAACTATATACCAACCTGACACAAAGCAATTATTTTCCCAATATATTCAGGAGGTGTTACAATAGTACCAAGAACAGTTGGCTCTAAATATTTAGATACTGAAAGTTTATCAGGAAACTGAGCAGGGTTGATAATAGTAATCTCTGCTTTACCATACTCCTGAAAACAAACAAACAAAACCGATACTGTAATTTTACAAATAAGTAGAATGAATAGCAAAGGAGACAAAAATAGCATTGAAAAAAAAAGCTAAAAAATGTTTCAATTGCTTGGAAACACTTGTGAATTGCTCAACCCAAATTTATACCACGCGCAACTTTAAAAGAAATTTCTACATCACGTACAGAAGTCCCTGATCAACATATCTTTAAATATTACCATATAGAAAGATTACAAGAATTACTTTCAATAGGAAAATGTTTTTTTAAGTATTTTATCCAGCAAATTTTATACAGAAGTGCTTAAAGGACTACAACCTAGGGTTATCCATAGAAATAATAAAGCCTTTCTGTCCATCCTTCTATCTCTCCTGCCTGTAGAGCAAGGATCTTCCTTCTTACTCCATCCTAATCCATTAAGTTATAAGCATAGCTCCTACAAAAGATCCGCTCCAAGTATTCTGCAGTTTGGTGACAGAGACATTCTCTAAATAGAACCTTGGCTTAAGGCTCCCTTACAGGCTGGTGATCTTAGAAATTAAGTTTCTGATTCCTGTGCAAGTGCTTTCATTACCTATTTCTTGTAGTCCAACATCCTGATAGGAGCTGGAGTTACTCTTCCGAAGTAAGAATAAAAGGAAGGTCATGCTTCTTATCATGTACATACAACCTCCCCCACACACCAAAGCAGTGACTGCATCTCTTCTGCTGACAAAGCAGTGTTCTTGAACAATGACCCAAGTTCCAGCACTGTTTGAAGTGTCCCACATCAGCAATCTAGAATCAGTTATGCACCAAAGGTGTCAACTACTTCATTCATAGCTGCTACACTGCTTAAGGAAGAAACCAAAACAACTGGGAAAAGAAAAAAAAAAGATAAAAGGGTCTATGCCTTACACCTTGCAAGGATAGCAACCTTTCTTACACAAGAATTTACAGATTAGAATTTACAGATTTTTTTGTAGAGTTTAGAGGTACATGTTGGATAATAACGGTCCAGCCTACTATTTGCAGCCTCCTTTCAGCAGGTGCTCATAAGCCCACCTCTCTAACTCAAGCACAGTAATATTTTTGCACTCATTCAATGAAGTTTGCACATGCCTATTTCACTGTGATGAAGAACTCACTTGTCTTCACCAGTGCCTGCCAGTCTACAGTAGCATTACAAGCTACTCCTGAAAACGTTCATGTTTTCTAACTGATAAAACCTTGAAGATTATTTCACCTGCTTTAAACTCAGTCCAGTCAGTATGCACTTAAAAGAATACAGCAAGAAATGTGTCCATTATTCCCATTCTCAAGGACGAGTATAAGGTATAAAAAGAGAGTGCTTGAAGTGGAAAGAGGAAGGAAAAGAAACATTCTAAAAGAAAAACATTATTTAAAAAAAATTCATTAAAAAGAGTTTTAAGTTAAATATTGGTGTTTCTAATGTTTACCATAAAATAAAGCACCAGACTATATTTTTTAAAAAAGTGTATAGGTTTATTACAGGAGGCTTTTAAGCTGCTATTTACATACAGCTGTAACAAATTTAACATACCTTTATCAACTTTGCCGAAGAAAGAATAGCTTTATATGGAACTGTAGGTGCAGTCAAAATAACAGACATGTTATATTCTTGCTCCAAACGTTGATTAAAAACTTCCATATGTAAAAGACCAAGGAAACCCAACCTGAGAAAGAAATATCCTGTTAGTGAAACTATCCCTGGAATTTCACAGTAGGGTTTTTTTTTTTCCCCCCTCCAGCATGTTTGTGCTGCTGGTCTGGCAATATCAGGCACAGCAAAAAATCTCCAAATGATGCTACAGTTGAATCGTACGAGTCTTTGAGAACAAAAACTATCAATCACAACAGACTGCACACTCTTCGCAAATACAGAACGTAAGAAAATCAAATGCTTTTGATCTTTACCTATCATTAATTTGAATTAAAGCTCCTAATCTTGAATTAAAATTTTAAGTCATCCTTCAGTTGTTAAGCTTGCATTCTCAATTTATGAGCCATTCCAAAAAAGAAAGCAGTATAAAAGCCTCACCTCCATCCAGCTCCTAAAGCAAGGCTACTGTCACGATGAACAGTTACACTGGAATCATTCAATGTCAGCCTTTCCAAAGCACTTTTGAGATTATTATATTCTGTTTGATCTACAGGATACATTCCTGTCAAAACATATTAGATAGAATCGATGTGATAGAGAGCTTTATTCTAGCATATACTTAGCTTTCAAACATGTCTCTTACAGTGAAGATAGTATTAAAATCAGAAATAGCTTATCTGCTGTTCCAACTTTAAAATGTGAAAAACAATATAAGGAATTTTTCTTCCCACCGCCCGCCCCTCCCCGAAATTAGTTAAAATGTAATATAAGTCATAAAAGCAGGAATTAACATTGAAACCATAATGGTAGGGATACTGTACTCATCTAATCCTTCACAGTTGTGGAAGATGCACAACTGAATATAAGCACTGTTTTGCAGGGCTGCGGTGCAAACACATTGCTTAAGCATAACTGAATAAGCAGACAAATTTCACTGAGATGTTCCTTCAAAGGTAGGAGTGAATGGGGAGGGGGGGGGGGTGGGAAAAGTGCCACATCTAACAAAGTTGCAAATGTTTCTGTATTTTTAAAATTAATAAAAGCAGCTGTCTGCATAATTACTACCTGAAACAGATTCTACCGTTACCACTTTTCACATCACCACATGTTCAGAAAACGCATTGCTTCTTGGTGTGGAGCAATCAGCATGTGCATACAAAAAGCATTATTTACAGGATTGCACTTTTCTACGTTCACTGACAGATGACCTAATCTCCGTGAGACAGTTCAAGTGACTTTTACACATTCCCTCACAACAAGTCTAGAAAATGACTTCCAGAATTTATTTCTTTCTAAAGCCGTCTTCCATAGTGTTTGTAGTAGTTACTGAAGCTGGTAGACACAGCTCAACAGAACTATATAAGCTTAAAAAGTCAAACTTTTTACAGAATCATTCTGAATACGAGCTTTAGCAGTTTACCATGTTTAATGAAAAAGAAAGAGCTGCTCATTTTTAAAAGAAAAATCACAATAATTACGGAAACCTTATTATCTAGATGAACAATTGCCAAATATGGACTTACTTTTTTAAAGCCTCACCCTTCTTTTCCAACTATCAAGAGTTTACTGCCATTAGAAACAATAATCATGGCTAAAAATACATCTTAGTCTTCTTTTCATACAGACTAGTCTGCAACTACTATTAATTCTGTAAGTCACAAGGAAAAATCACACAGAGCTACAAAAACAACATGCCTCTTTAGCTTAACTTTGCTAAAATTCTAATCCTCAGAACTCTTAATATACACATGTATTCTTTTAAAAGCTCCAATAGCTCTCTTACTGGAAAAAAGTAGTTCCAATTTATATCGGTTTACTCCTCACCTGCAAAAACCATTGGCTTCGCTGACTTAAAGCCAGGCAAAGGCTCCACTGGCTGTTTACACAAAAACAGCGTGTCTCCTATTTGGGCTTCTGTTACTTCTTTCATTCCAGCAATCAGGTACCCCACCTGTCCAGCATATCTAAATAAAATTGGCATTATATGGACGTGCTTCTTGGCATTATCAGTATTTCCACTATTTTTTCCCACTTAAACTAACTCAGTCCAAAATTCAAATAAATCACGCCCCTGCTAAAAGCCCAAAAGCCAGATTTAAGTTGTTCCTCCTCCCAGCTGTGAACTTCGTCTCAAGGGACAAACTATCTCTTGACTTAAGCAGCTCTATTTCTGTTACAGCTTAACCGTACACTTAACAGTTCCGCACTTTGAATTCTGTGCTACTCCCAGTTCGAAAGCTGGAGCTAGAGGGAAGTTCTCAGGGATCTAAGACAGAACCAGAACAATTCCCAGCTGCCAACACAGCAAGTTTCATATACTAAGTGGCAGAAACAACAAAAGACAAACACCTTCCATCAGCACATAATCCTTTCATAAGAGGAACCCAAGGTAAATAAAGAGTAAAACCCAGCGTACTGGTTTTGGCTGGAATGGAGTTAAATTTCTTCATAGCAGCCCCGAATGGTGCTGTATTTTAGATTTGTGACTAAAATGGTGTTGATAGCATACCAATGTGTTAGCTGTTGCTGAATACTGCTGGCACAGCGTGAATGCTTTCTGTCTGTCACTCTGCCCCCCAGCAAATAGGCTAGATGTAGGCAAGAGCCTAGGAAGTGACAAAGCCAGAACAGAGGACCTGAACCAAACAAAGGGATATTCCATGCCATATAACATCATGCTTGGCAATAAAACACAAGGAGCTTAGTCTTTCCAAGGTGGCCGTTAAGTGTAGACTAGCAGGGCATCAGTTTGCTTGTGAAAGGTGGTGAGTAAATGATTGCCTTCGCATCAGTTGTTTTTGTTTCTTTTCTTTTTCCTTCACTTACTAAACTGTCTTCATCTCACCCACAAGTCTTTCCTCACTTTTGCTTTTCCAATTCTCTCCCCCCCTCGCACTGGGGTTGAGGGAGCAAGTGGCTGGTTCAGTGCTTAGTTGCTGGCTGCGTTTAACCCACCACACATAGTAACATAATCTCACTGAGAATCTCCCAAGAAAGTCATTAACACATACTTGGATGCAAACTGATATAAAGGTTTTCCACTAATTCTAAGTACCTGATTTTCTTCCCACTGCTGCCATGAGGAGCCAGTTTCTGGAAGCTGTTGCATTCACGGATTTTAAGTTTTTCCACCCTCAAAATATGCTGCAGCAATAACTAAGATGAAGCCCCATTCCCTTCCACTCTCAAACAAGGTAGTTCCTAGAAATAAATTGGACAGCTGAATAAGAATATCAAATGCTAGTCTTAAAAAAAACTAGCTGTCCAGATGTTCCAAGTACTATAGATGACAGAACGGCTTCCTCCCCCTAGCAGTGCTCAAACAGCAGTCCCCAAAAGCTTCTGCCTCAGTATGCCCAAAATGAGAAAGACAGACACTAAGCATTAAATTACAAATAATGATCATAAAAAAAACCACCATCAAAGAAAAAGAACAGAAGACCCAGACATCTCCCAGCCTCTACCACTCAAAACAAAAATCAAATAGAAATACAGGATTTTGTATCTTACACCAACTTATGACTTGTTCTACTGCAAGAAAGTTTTACTTACAACTTATGCGTTGGCTGTTCATTTGGAGTCAGAATTCCGACTTCATTAACTTCGTATCTTTTCTTTGTGTGTGCAGACACAATTTTATGCCCTTTCTCAATCTCCCCACCAAAGAGCGCAATGTTAGCTACGACACCTCGGTAGTGGTCAAAGGTGGAGTCAAACACTAAGGCTTTCAATGGATCAGCAGTAGTACATGGAGGCCTGTCACAAAAAATTTAAAATTAAATATTAAGCAATGTGTTTTTAATTCAATATTGAATGAGCAATCACACCCATCCAAAAAAACTTTCCTATTAGTATAGATAAAACTATCGAGTAATTTTCAGTAAACACATACCAGACATTGTTTCAGTGTTTCATTACATATTACGCAGCAAATCTTTGCATTTTATTTCCTTCATGTGCAATAGCAGTACAAATAGAACAAAAACAGATGCATATCCATCATACTCATTTCAACACAGGTGAAACTGATGCTTAAAATATCATATTATCGAAGACAAGAAAAATTCAGTTACGTTCCAACAGCTGAGTTAAAAAAAGTCCACTGATATTTTGTTTTTGCCATCTTTCAGAAACCTAATCTTAGATTTTCATTATGGTTTGCGTTTTTTTTTAACTATAATTATTAACTAATATGAGGAATACAACTATTAGCTAATAGAAGGAAAAAAGAATGAAAAGCAATATGCTGATGAAACAACTGTAATTTAGCAGCTTTGTCATGAAGTTCTTAGACAAAAGTCTATTTAAAAGGTTGAGTTCAGGATATGAAACTCCAAACACAGCAGATTTCGATTAGCTTTACTCCTTTTGCACATTTCATTGTTAAAATTATAACAGCACACATCCTCAAACACTGAGTTTCATGGAAGCTATATGAACAGTCATAAAACACCACCTTTAGTGTCTCCCCTCTCATCTCTCATTTCAGACAATTAATTTTCCTCTCCCACTTTTTAAGAGATTTGAAACTGACTTAACCAGCTCCAACATTAGATTTCTCTCCCATTTCTTTATAAAATATTGACTTTAAATCAGATTAAGTGCAAAACTCCTGCCAATACTGTATACATGCAACTCATGGTTTCCTAATTAACCTTACACGGTTTCGTAATTAAATACAGACTTACGGTGGAATCTTCTCAATGATCTTTTGAAGAACTTTTTCAACATTTGTTCCTCGTTTAGCAGAAATCTAGAATGAGTTCAAAAACAACTTTATAAGACATATGTCTTGCACTCATTTGGTATCTATTAAATAGTATCACATATACTTAGTTTTGGTGACAACAGATAATACTACCCATAAAACCACCCTGAAGCACACTTTAGCATGCTACTACTATAAAAACGCATTTTTTTCTCTCCTGAATGGCAATTATTGTTATGGTAAAAACAGAAACAATTTATGGACCCACAATAAGAAATAATTGAAAATCTATCTGATGCCATTCATCAAGACATACTAAAATTTTTAACCGAGAAGTATGTTCTCCACTCTTGTTTTCCAGAAGACAGTCTTTAAAGAAATTATGTATGTCAAAGACTGGCAGACAAACGACATCCTTTTGATCTACTGTGTGTACATGTCTTTCATTAGCTACAAAGCAGATACAGTTACACAATCATCCATGTCATAAAACTTCAAGAGATCTTACCCTTACACATTCATCTATAGGGATATCAAACAGTTTCTCAATTTGTTTTTCAACTCTTTCAGGGTCTGCATTCTTCAAGTCAATCTGAAAAACAACAAACTGGTAAATATACAGGCAACCACATCTTCCCTATGATCCAGCACTGTAGCTTCCAAATATACAAGTCAAGGAACCTTTATGTATTTATCAGCAAATACTGGATGTCTTCAGCAAAAGATCTTTATCAAGATTCATTTTAGAAAGTCTTCCTTGCTTGACTTCAGGAAGGATTCCCTCTGTAATTAAACTATTTTTTGTTTGTTTCATTAGGCAAAACACTTCATCCAAGAGCTGGTGAAAATTTTTATTTTACAAAGTAATTGGAAAGCATAAGCACTACCTATAGTGTTTACACGATGAAACATGAAGTACAATGTACATCTACAAAAAGCAATTAATTTAAGCTACACAGTAAGTAGTCTTGTAATTCCAATCATATTAGCCCACAGAAAATGCATAACCCACAACATTTGAATGTTGTTTAAAACTAAGAGTACACTTTTTAAATATTGAGCTGCTACTCATGTAATCTCCTCTGTGTATCATCATTAACAAAAAGAAAAACAAAACATACTAAAGCAGATGGAGGAATATATCGATTATCATAGCAAGAACCTTTAAAGTCACTTCTGTCAAAAGCCACTCAAAGATTCGCCAGAAAAAAATATTTTACATGGAAGGAATTCCAATGTTCATAAATTGGTGCGTTTAAATTATGATAGGCTACAGGACTGTTACATATATCCCAATTATCTAAGTTCTTCCTATCCACACACTTTCCTATCCACAGATAGGAGTCTTAAGTGTTCTCAGCTTAAAGAGTCAACCGAGAAGTGACATAGAAGTTACACATCTCTAAGGCAAGTGCATCCATATAAATACAAAACAACCTAAGCTCATACTGACAGCCTTCTGAATTGCTCACATCTGTAATTTCCAATTTGAAAACCACAGCTGTTAAAAACCTGGTATTTCAAAAAACAGGATTAGTAGAATCATCAAATCATTTAGGTTGGAAAAGATCCTTAAGATCATAGAGTCCAACCGTAAACCCAACACTGCCGAGTCCAACACTAAACCATGTCCCTATGCACTGCATGGGGTTGTTGTGGCCGAAGTGCAGGACCCGGCACTCAGCCTTGCTGAACCTCATACAATTGGCCTTGGCCCATCGATCCAGACTGTCCAGATCCCCCTGTAGAGCCTTCCTACCCTCAAGCAGATCAAGACTCCTGCCCAGCTAGGTGTTGTCTGCAAACTTACTGAGGGTGCACTTGATCCCCTCATCCACATCACTGATAAAAATATTAAACAGAACTGGCTCCAATACTGAACCCTGGGGAACATCACCTGTAAACGGCCACCAACTGGATTTAACTCCACTTACTACAACTCTTTGGCCCTGGCCATCCAGACAGTTTTTTACCCAGCAAAGAGTACACCCATCCAAGCCACAAACAGCCAGTTTCTCCAGAAGAATGCTGTGGGAAGCGGTGTCAAAGGCTTTACTAAAGTCTAGGTAGACAATATCCACAGCTTCTCCCTCATCCACTAAGCAGGTCACCTTGTCACAGAAGGAGATCAGGTCAGTCAAGCAGGACCTGCCTTTCATAAACCCATGCTGACTGGGCCTGATCACCTGGTTGTCCTGTACATGCCGTGTGATGGCACTCAGCATGACCTGCTCCATAATCTTCCCCAGCGCTGAGGTCGGACTGACAGGCCTGTAGTTCCCTAGATCCTCCTTACAGCCCTGCTTGTAGATGGGTATCACATATGCTAAATTCCAGTAAAGCGGGATCTTCCCAGATAGGCAGGATGGCTGATAAATGATGGAAAGTGGCTTGGTGAGCACTTCTGCCAGCTCCCTCAGTACCCTTGGGTGGATCTCATCCAGACCCATAGACTTGTGTGTGTGTGTAAGTGGTGTAGCATGTCGCAAACCATTTCCCCTTGGATTATGGGGGCTGTTCAAAAGCCGCATCACAACCAGCCTGCTTGGAGCATGGCAGAGCACGTGTAGGTTAATTTGCACCTCTCTGGCCATTCATGCCCTAATGCCCATATCGGCTAAACACTCTCACCTGTATTTAACATCGAATCAATTTGAAACCCTGGATGCTCAGCTTCAGTTTGTTCTCATTAGGATAAAATACACAGTGCTGAGTATTACCTGAGGGGTCAGTTGTTTTTCATACCATAGCCCTTGTTTGCAAACTGTAACTGCTTCAGATTTCCCACCAAGAAACAATTTACACAATGCTTCTGACCTCAATTTACCATACAGACTCCAATAATAATTTTTCAGTGCTGCTTGCAAAATGCTTCTGCATGTATTTTATGAAATAAAAACTGATGTTTGCAGCAATTACTGTAAAATATTAAACAGACAGCAAATACACAAAGTTCTTAATACATTCTAGTTATTTTTTCATTATATACTTCTATTTGAGAATACATTTCTTATAAGTCTTCTACACATTTAAACAACCCAAATATTTAATACGAAACTCTAAAACCTTTATTACCTTATTAATGACAGGAATTATTGCAAGCTGTGCTTCAAAAGCCAGATAGAAGTTTGCCACTGTCTGAGCCTGAATACCCTAGAAAATAAACATTAAAAAGGTTTAACATGGAATCTTCCTGAGTTTTGGTGGTTTGTTTGGAGGTTTTTTTTTTTTTAAGGAATACTATACAATATATTACTTCGCTATTCTATCCAGTCTTCCATTTGGGGTATGGAAAATAAGTAACGGTTACTGATTATACACATTGCTGAGAAAGAAAACAACACTCCTAATTATCATTTCTCATAATCTGAATATAAGTAGACAAATTAATAATGCTGTATGTGTGATAACTTACATGGAATTATTTATAGATAACAGTATTATGCATACATTATGCACCAAGTACATATTTTTGTGTACGTTATTTATTTCTGAGTAGTCAAGATCATAACAAGTATCTCAAAAACCAGACTGTTTGTCCATAACAAATTAGTCAAAAATGGACTAAGACAAAGAAAAAGGGTGTAAGACTGTAGTTACTCCAGAGGGCAGGAATATACCTTAAACTTACCTTACAATTACTTTCAAAAAATGAAACAAATTATAAGGTTTGTACCTCACATTTCTTTCAGAAGAATGGGAAAAGAACAGCTCTAATTAGAAAAAAAAGAAGTAATCTTCCAGATCCAAGTACCAGACAAGAGAAAACAAAGAGACAGAGATGCTAATGAATGAAAGTATAAAGCCTAATATCACAAACGGACCAGAGAGGCAAAAGGGGGAACGAGGGGCAGAGAAGGAAAAAAAAAGAAGCTACTTGCTGTCTTCCCCTTTGTTTACAACAGATCAAGTGGAAAATGACTTATAAGGGAATATTCACTAAGGATATATGGGCCTACCTTTTTAAGCAGTGTAAAGAAGCAGCAAAGGACATTTATTAAAAAAATAAATAAATAAAAGAATGTAAGACCTAAAATTTGAATGTTACCTCCAGAATTCAGGCTGGCAGAAGAAACACTAGCAATTATAATGAAAAAGTTGAGTTTGTAGGCATTCTGACTGAAAGGCAAATACAGAATACCAAATAATCTTATAATATTTAAATATGACATAAAGAAATATATGCATAGTAAATACAAAAATATCAGCACCTTTAGAAAACATATTTATTACCGAAGCTTACTTAGGAAGTCCGATTGCCCACCAAGCTAGGAAGGAGCAAGTGTTCATAATCATTGAAAGTTTGTCAGCTGTTTTGTTTTTTTTCCATATAACAAGGAAAAAAGTAGCTTTCATTTGACCCTTGCACAATCCAGTCATAAATACGCCTTAGAGAAAATTAGCATCAAAATCCTTTGTGAGAATGTGTCCATATTTAAAATCATGATCCCATAATCCTCATATTCTAGTCTGCTAACTGATTCTTTAAAATGTTTCTAGCACTGTACAAATAAAAGAACAACTAAGATCTCTAATTTTACTTCACTGCTAGTATAGACTTTGTCTGCAAATTTATGAGAGTATCACCTTACCAACATTTTACTCCCTAACTGTCCTGCTTCTCCTGAAAGATCAGTCAAGAACCCATCGATCTAGTGGATATAAAGCTTCTCAAGTTTCCAGAATAAACTCATTTACATTTGGCTTATAGTGCCCTTTAGCTTTAACGTTGCCAGTATCGGTTGTATTACAGATGATCAAAAACACAACAGCAAATAGTTATAATTAACAGTGTGGCTGGTTGAACGAATCATCAAGCTTTCCAACAAGAAACTAAAGGTACTCAAATGGGTATTAGCGCAATAGCTAAAAGTTCTCCAGACTGCCATGGGCAAAGTTCATAGTCCGTAAAAAAGTAAGATCATTCATCCTGTGCTTTTATCGCTGTGTCATGGAACTGCAGTATCAATCTTCACACAATCATTTCTCACTAGGTATTTTTTAAAACTCTCATTACTCTTCCTCTGCAACATAATACTTTTATGGAGACAGATCGAGGGCAAAAACACTGTTGGAAAAATTAAAAAAAAAAAACAAAAACAATCTCCTCCTCTCTCTAGCTTGCTTAAAGAAATTGCTGAAATTCTAAGTAATAAACAAGAATTAAGAACTCTACCTCATTTGCATCCACTACAAGTATGACACCTTGACAGGCAGACAGTGATCGTGATACTTCATAGCTGAAATCTACATGGCCCTGTGGAGAAAAAAAAAAGGTTACAGTTTCAGGTATTTCTAGAGTCTTTTACAAAGACTTCTACATTATGATGTTTTCATTTGTGTATATGTTCACAATGCTTAAAAAAAAAGAAATTGAATAAACACAAGAAGCCAGAAATCTCCTACTTTTAAATATAAAGACATTTAGCTTTGTGTGATTTAAACACAGTTTATACTTAACTTACTGGTGTGTCAATAAGATTTAAGAGGTAGTTTACTCCTTCGTGATTGTAGAAGAGAGATGCAGATTGTGCTTTAACTGTAATTCCTCTTTCGCGTTCCACCTGCAGTTTATCCAGCACTTGTTTATTACGGTCAGTTTTAGCAATTGTTCCTGAGACAAAAAAAAAAAAAACAAACAGTTTTATTACCTCATTTAGTATATTAGCTCTCAAAAAAAGTAATTCTTGAAAATGCTATTAACCAGGAGAACATGGAACTTGCAGGTGAAAATGAGGCTTTTCCGTCTGATTAAGCTACGTTTAGATTTTCTTTTAAAAATAAAACTATGCTTCAACACTTAAAATTTGTTAAATAAATTTTTACATATGAGTTACATAAAATAATTTACTGAACAAGCAAGATATAAAACATCAAGTAATTCTAAATCAGAGATTAAGAAGTAGCAAAGACTCCATTCAGTGCTAAATAATTTTGATGTTTAAAGAAACTTCCCCTCCTGTCACTGGAAAGCAGCTCCATGGCCCACGGCGCCTACCAGTGACAACCTCAAGTGTGAAGAGAGTATTATCACAGAGCTTGACTGACCTGAATTCAAAACTCCAGTCTGTCACAGGCATCGCATAAAAGTGACACACAGGAGATAATCCTAAAGAATAACTTTGATCAAAAGGTTTTGTTTTGCTCGCCTAAATGAGAAAAGCAAGACTCTTTCAAAGGGTATTTCTGAGTAGTTAATTTAAGTTCTGACCTGAAGTTAGTTTCCTCTTAGGAGATACAGAAAACCCACTAAGGCAACCCCTGTCTTGCTTTTCCAAGGAAATTCTAGTTTCAGAGTCACTTAACAGTTTTGAAGATCTCCTAGCACTTCTGTTTCTCATTTTCACTTTAAAAGGGGATGTTTTTTCTTAGGCTCAACAGTAACACAGAAATAAAAACACTGAAGTCTAGAAAGCACTCCAATGAGGTCAAAATAAATACCTCTGAAGATGAAAGTAACACAACTTCACCAATACTTAGAATGAAGGAAAAAGCAAGTCCCTATAGTAGCTGAGATTCCATGGAATTTACACTTAACTAGTAGCAGTTACTCTACACACTAAATCTAAATGAATACAGGGCTGTACATTCCTAAAACTTGCTGTGCAGCATCATGTGAGTTTCAGTACTGGTGAGCTTCACCACCATGAAAGGCAACTGTTTATGGTTTGCTTACAAGAGAAGGTAGTGTTACTTTCATCTAAGTACAAGCAGCTGAAGCTCCTCCCTGTTTCAATAATGCTTTTGAAAAGTACTCTGTCCAGATTTCCTAGGTCATGACAGTTCCCTTCTGTTCATCCCAAACACCAGCAGTAAACACCATAAACTTGCTGTGCGCTGGTCTAATGGATGACTGGTCAGGAATTACAGGAGTAGCACTTTGAACAAGGAAGCACACACCTTTTCAGTCTCTTTCCAAAATACATACTTCCTTGAGTGAATTACACACTTCCTTATCCCTGCTTCTAGGCACACCTCAACTGGAAAGAAAGTACATCATATTCACATCTGTAACACTACACAACTGGCAGTCTAAAAGCACAAGCAACCTAGTTCTAGAAGAGCAAAGACATTAGAAATTTTAGTAATAACCAAAGATATAGAAACTTGCACGTTGTCTTACATGTCAAGAAAAGGTAGTACAAAATGAGAACACTTACCTGTAATTTCCAACAATCTGTCTGCTAGCGTACTTTTGCCATGATCTACATGAGCTATAATACTGAAGTTTCTAATGCTTTCAACAGGATATGTCGACATATCTATTTTTTCCTGAAAAACAGAAGTTTATTTTCATAAACCATAGTTACAGTCTCTATGTACAATATGACTTGGCCTTTAAAATAAAAAATCAACTCTGTTCTCTAGAAGAGGCATAGGTTGAATAGAGATACAAAAACTTAAATTGTCATCAGTGTTTAAAATACTAGCGTTTCATTTCAGTCATACACACGCATATATGTATTTATTTATTACTCTGAATAATCAGTAAGTATGCTGGAAAGTGTTGTGAAAAGTACTATGTTCTTATGCAGATCAGGAGTTGGAAAGTTTAAAACAGTTTCAATTTTGTTAAAACACTAAACTTAAGGATTAAGAAAACTGGATTCAGGGAAGCATTAAGGACATAATTCTTCACAACCATGATAAGAATACAGCGACATTACCTAGCAGTTCAAGTAGCAGTGACCTTAACATAAGAGGCAAGCAGACTTTGTGGAAATGAAAGCTACAGGTTACAGTTATCTTGGCTAAATTATAAAATGCAGAAAACCAGCCCGACTTCCTTGGTTCACACAAAGAAAGGCCCAACACTAACAAACGTTTCTTTGTGTTATTCCTGCTCATTCCAAGTAATACCACGTTTTGAAGAAAAGTGGCATCTTTGCTCTTCAAAGCTTTCAGCACCAGGGACCAGGAGACGGCTAAAAGCAATCAGTAACCCTTTACTGAAAAACTCTGGTCGCCGATTTTAGAGATACATAAAGCTCAACCCTCTTACACAGGCTGCGCCCACCAGCTCTGGGCCAGGCCGAGAGGCAAGCAAGGCCGGGGCTCTCCGCTAGCATCCATACACGGCACGAAGCAGCATGATCTGCCGCGCCCCCTGCAGGGTGCCCCGGCTTGGAACGGCAAGTCCTCCTACTGCGAAGGGGACGCAAACAACCCTGCAGCGAGAAATGG